GGTGGTGGGTGGTGGGTGGTGGTTCGTGGTGGGTGGGTGCACAGCAGGTGCCTGTGGAGCCCAGAGGATTACCTCCCCGCACCCCAGTGCTGGAGATGTGGGTGCTGAGAACAAATTCCAGAGCTCAGGGCTCTTCATTGCACAGCTTTCTCTGTAGTCCAGGATTTCTACTTTCAACCAGTTATACATTTGTCTATGTTTTGTGTTCTGTTTAATTGTTATATCAATTGTTAATTATGTTCAATATGATCCTTACAGGTATGTAATTACCTCATGGGAACCACTGTGGCTATTAAGATGAGTACTCTTTAAATGTTATAGTTATTTTTATTAGATTTATCATATCCATGTAAAGAAGCAACTGCAAATAATGACCTGTATGTTAAACCCAGGCATCTGCCATCTTTTTTTAAAGGCAACTTCTCTCTCTTATTTAGCTCTGATAGTCCTGGAACTCATTATGTAGACCAGAGTGGCCTTGAACCCATCTAGATCCACTTGTCTCTGCTTCCCAAGTGCTGGGATTAAAAGATTACACCACCACACCTAGCTTGTAGGTCAAGTCTTAATGGGACTCAGCCATGCCAATCCATGTATTGGATGTAAAGTAATGTCTTTTCCTGTCCCCAGGTTAGGGTGTTGTGGGTTGGAACCCCCCAAGTTCCTAGAATAAAAAACTGTCTGGGGTCATGTAATATTTTTCATTCTTTGATGCCAAAACAGAACTCTTTTAGTTTGGTTTGGTTTTTGGTTATTCGAGACAGGGTTTCTCTGTTAGTCTTGATTATCCTGGAACTCACTATGTAGACCACGATGGCCTCGAACACACAGAGATCCACCTGCTTCTGCCTCCCAAGTGCTGGTATTAAAAGTATGCCCCACCACCTGCAGGCTCAAAACAGAACTCTTGCATCAAATGGAATAAGGGATCCTTTATTCTGGAGCCAAATATGAGTGACAAAGGCTCAGGAACACAGATTCAGAGTAGTCTAGTACCATGTGACAATGTGATAACAGTCAGATGGAATTTTTATAGTAACATAATAAAGGCCACACTAAATGAAGGCCTCTTCCATGGCAGGAAACAGCAGGCAGGATGGTTACAGAAAAGCAGGGAGTGTCTGCTATAGACCTCAGAAGCTGTCAGATGCCATCCCTCTTAGCCTTTGGGTTGGTAGAAGCGACAGAAATTTGACCTGATAGTCACACGGATGTTAGGGCAAACACAAAGGTAGGCAACGCCTATTATGAAGACTGAAAATAGCCTAAAATATTTGGACAGCTCTCCTCAATCACAGGAGTTCTGATCATCAGTCAGCCATGTAGTCTTAACACAGTTGTGGCTTTTCTTCTGGAAAGTTCAGTTCACATGTATACTTACATACATCCCTGTGTTCACGTGCACACTTACATACATCCCTGCGTTCACATGCATACTTACATACATCCCTGTGTTCATGTGCACACTTACATACATCCCTGTGTTCACATGCATACTTACATACATCCCTGTGTTCACATGCACACTTACATACATCCCTGTGTTCACGTGCACACTTCCATACATTCCCGAGTCAGCTATGTCCGACTCCCATCCTGGGCTGGCCTTTACTTGCCATGCTGGGTCAGGACATGGAACAGAGGAGTGTTTTTAGGGAAAGCAGAAGGAAAATGCATTTTTCCTGCCCGAGTGGGTGGATTCAAGTGAGACATTATTCACGGCATCCAAGTCCTTCAAACAATTTTTCAGGCCTTTGTTTTGACATTGTTTGTTTAAGAAGAATGAGTGATTTAGGAGTTTTAGAATTTTTTAAAAAGGAACTCATTTCTTTCATCCTCATTTTTCCTCCTGTGTGTATGTGAAAGAATGGAGTTAATACATGTTTAGATCAATCAACTCTGAATGAACACACAGCCCATGCAGAAAGTAGTGGGTTCATCTAGACTTTTTTTTTGGGGGGGTGGGTTTCTGAGACAAGGTTTCTCTATAGAGCAGTCTTCACTGCCCTGGAACTCTTTGTAGACCAGGCTGGCCTTGAACTCACACAGATCCACCTGCCTCTGCCTCCCAAGTGCTGGGACTAAAGGTGTGCGCCACCACTGCCTGGCTAGTTTCTCAAGTTTTGAGATTACAGGTATGAGTCACCATACCATGTGATGGTTTGAATGCAAATGGCCCCCATATGCTCATCTATTGAATGATTAGTCACCAGGGAAGGATACTATGGAAGAGAATTAGGAGGTGTGGCCTTTTTGGAGGAAGAGGGGGTGGACTTCAGGCCCAGTCTCTCTCTCTCTCTCTCTCTCTCTCTCTCTCTCTCTCTCTCTCTCCTCTCTCTCCCTGCCTGCTGCCTACAGATCAGGGTATAAAGCTCTCAGCTATCCCTCCAGTGCCATGCCTGCCTGCTTCCACCATGATGACCGTGGATTCACCCTCTGAAACTGTAAGCAGGCCCCCAATTAATTGTTTTCTTTGATAAGAGTTTCCTCGGTCATGGGGTCTCTTCACAGCAGTATAACTAACACATACCTGGAATGATTTAGTATAATTTCAAAAACTTCAAAAATTTTTAGATTTACATATTTTCTGTATCTGAGGGCTTTGCCTGCAAGTATGTACATGTACCATGTGTGTGCCTGGTGTCTACAGAGGTCAGCAGAGGATGTCAGAGACTGGAGAGAACTGTAGTTAACTGTGGTTGTGAGCCACCGTCTGTAGTGGGTGCTGGGAACTGAACCCTGGTCCTCTGCAAGAGCAAGGGGCATCACTGACTGCCGAGCCAGCTCTCCAGCTTCTGATTTAAATTAATTTTAAGAAAAAGAGGGAAAAATCTGTTTCCATCTAAATAGGCTTATTCTAGCTTTTTTAAAAACTGGGAGTTTAGAGAGCCATATGGGAGAGCCAAAGGAGATACTCATCTATCAGCCTGCCGATGTCAATCCTCTTGGCTGTCCACCAAAGACATCGGCCCTGGACGTCAAGTGGCTGAAAAGCCGAGGCTTAAGTGTCTCATAGCTGTGATGGATCCTTTTCATTGTTTTCTTGGAAAGACTAAAATCAGAAAAGTTTCATGTTAGAGAAAGTTGCTGTGACTTCCCTTCTCTTCTCCTCCCTCCCCTTCTTCTTCTGGTGGGGAGATGGGGGATTTTATTTTAGTTCATGTTTTTGTTTTTAAAACTACGGATGGAGAAAAAGAAAATGTCTTGCTGGCACACAGTGGACTTTCCCATAAAACTGTCTTTGGCCATGAACTAAGTACAACAGACATCGTGCCAAGAGGGGGTTTATGCTTTCCCTCTATTTCTCCCGCAAAGAAAAAAAAAAAAAAAGAAGAAGAAGAATCCCAAACATAGGACCTAAATCAAGTCAGAATGAAAACCACATTTCCAGTCCCCATCAGGGCTTTGATCCTACTTCTCTATGGTCACTTTAAGAGTTGGTTTTATAAAAACAACAACAACAACACCTCAAATAACCAAGCTATGGGTCACTGTACATCCAGAAGGATATTCCAGAAGAGCAGTAATCAGACTCAATAAACTGAGGCCACTACTATGTTGGTCAGGCACAGTAAAAACTCATAATGTGGCTAGGAGTTCCCAGGCAGTTCTTTTAGCCACAGTGGCTGAAGGCTGCTCTCTCTAATAGGAGAGACTATCTGAGCACTGGTAACTTGTACAGCAGACAGGTCTTCTGGCTGGCAGCTTCAGCTGTAGTCATTGAAACCAGAGACCCTGGATTCCTTGGAAACCTAACACCAGCCACTGTGTTGGCTGGGACTGTCCCTAGTCCAGACATATCATGAGAAGTGATATTGCATGACTTTTTCTGGAGAGATGTAAAGAAACACCTGTTTGTCCCCAGATACAACAATGACAGTAGAAAAGAAAATGTTGCATCCAATCCCAGGCCGGTGAACCAATGAGTTTACTGGGGTTGCATACAGGAAACTGGTGAAGGGTTACTCACAGGAGCATGGGTGACTCAAAAGGGCTTTACTCAGTAAGAAGTTCCACCCCAGTAGGTATGATGACTCATAAAGCTGTGTCACTGGAGTTTCATCCTTAATGGGCTTTCCAGGATATATTCTACCACCCTCCCCTACAAAGACCACACAGAGTTGGGGTGGGGGGTAGATGGGAGTAAGGGATGGAATTTCAGGTGAGGGTTTGGTGACCTGCCCACTCTACTTCTACCAGGAAATGTCATTAGTTCTGTCTTCATCACCATGGACTTAGTTGTCACTGTGATGTTCTGCTTATCTTCTTGGCATGACTGTGGGTCTCATGTCTTCTGTAGGTCACCACAACTTTCTCTGCTACATGAGATGGCCCATAGTCACATCAGGCCTATGTAAATAGACACGGGTGGGAACATTCTGATGTTTTTTTTCCCCTCATGTTATGGTCTCTCTGTGTAGCTCTGGTTGTCCTGGAACTCTTTCTGTAGACCAGGCTGGCCTCAAACTTGGAGATCCTCCTGTATCTGACTCCTGAGTACTGGGAGGGAACATTCTTTTCTTTCAGAGATAATTGACCTGTTGAGGGTGGAATTTAAGGAAGAAAGCAAACACTTTGCCAGAACTCACAATTTAAAATTTGTACTTATTCTCTCCTCCCCTT